GTTGCGTCGGCGGTTGCGTCGGCGGTTGCGTCGGCGGTTGCGTCGGCGGTTGCGTCGGCGGAGGCTTCGCCGATGTTGTCACCGCTTGTTGGCGGCGTGCTGAGAGTCAGCGCCGGACAACTCTTCGACGTCTTCGACTTAGAGTAATCCTGTCGCTTAGCAACGTGCACCACGGCGGCGTCGCATCGCTTCACGATCGTCATCTTCGGCGGCAAGCCGACGTCCTTCCGCGGCGACCTGTCCTCGGCTTCCCTGACGACAACAGCGCGCGTCGTCGGCGACTTCCTTTCCCCGACGGTGTCTCCTCCTGGCTTCTCCGCTTTCAGCGTCGCGGTGCGACTCTCGCTTCCCGTCGCATCCCCGCTCGGTCTCCGCCCGCTGGACCCTCCCTCCGTCATCCTCCTCGCCTCTTCCGCCTTCCAGCCTGCAGCCAGCTTCTTCGGCGGGGTCGTGTACATCTCGCTCTTCTCGGCGTCGGACGAGAGCAGCGTGGCGACGGGAGCGCCGCCAGCGTCCTTGACGATCTGCACGACGGCGTAGGGTCCCTGGGAGCCGACGCTCGTTGCCATGGGCGACTCGAAGCAGCTGCTGGGTCGCTTGCTGGACGCGTCCGACAGCATCGTGTCTCTGAGTGAAGGAGAGAAGGAGGAGAGACGCGTTAGTCGGGACTGGTTGGCGCGCGGGAGGAAAAGGAACCCCAGTTATGAATGTTACGGGAGGGGAGGAACCCAGTTATGAATGTTACGTGAGGGAGGAACCCCAGTTATGAATGTTACGAACCTCCACTCCACATGAACGCTCTTGGACATAGGATTTAATCACTGCGTCTGCCACATCTGCATCCTTGCTCACTTTCATATGCTTTCTGGCACTCAATGAACCAATGCTTTCCACATTATACTTTAGTGAAAAAAATTCGAAGCCGTTTGTTTCTAATTTATAAACAAATCGCCAACTGCCATCTACCGGACACTTCTCGAGTTATCGGTCTGTGTCTGGCAAATAGCGGTAAGTTCATTTTTTTTGATTTTTCAGATTTGGTCCGGATTTCCCGAAATCCGGGAAGGCGGGGTCCGGAAAATAGAGGTTCAACAGTATGTAACGTGTTATTAACGTATATAACATATTAAACGTAATATATGTAACATGTTACAAATGTTAATATTAATGTACATAACATGCAACATTGCGCACATACACGTCTGTACACCTGGAGTAGTGAGTCCGTAGTAACACCTATATAGCACAGGTCATCGACACAGCGTTTGCTATCTATTGGCATGAATGAGGGCGTCTGCGTATTCAACCGCCCTCCTGCCGCATGAGTGAAAGGTCCACGTATTCGAACGTAGCCCTCCCGGTTTACATGAGTATATTGGCATGAATGTGTCTGCCAATTTGTCGACCTGCTTTCGTCAAATCGTCTACGTATTTGACCGCAGTCCTCCTGCCTTACATGCATCTCCCGGTGCCCTCTCCCGCACACTCCTCCTCTGCCGTTATATATAGGGGAGTAGGAACGAGTGCGAGGCACCTCGCACGGCGTGTGTCTCTGTGGCGCATCTCCCCCTCCTCCCCCGAGCCTTCCCAGCGTGGGCGTGTCTCTCTGTGAGCTCTCGCCCCCCACACCCCACACACACACGCGTGTCCCTACACGTCGCTAGATTTCAGGTCCATATCGGCGAGCAGCGCCGCCTGGCGGCTAAACTTTTCCGACTGCGTCCTCCGCATGACGATCGGCGACTTTTTCGGCGACGAGCTCTTTCTCTCCGCCACCGGCGGCGCCGCGGTCGTTTTCCCTGCCGCTAGGGGCGCCGGTTCGTTCTTCTTCTCCGTCGCTAGGGACGTCATACTCCTTTTCTCGACCGCAGGCGAAGCTGCGTTTGCCTTCCCTGTCACCGGAGACGCCGCACTCTTCTTCTCGAACGCAGTGGAAGCCGTTTTTGTCTCCGCCACCACTAGAGGCGCTGCGTTCGTCTTCCCCGCCACCGGAAGTGCCGCGGCGTCGTCGGCTGGCTTCGCCGACACGTCCAGCTGGCGCATCGTCATGCCGAGCTCCATCTCCAGGTTGCTGAGGGCGCGCGAGATGTCAGACGACGGACCGTCCAGCAGAGGCTCGGCCGACTGCGACCGCAGCAGCTTGCCGACTTCGCCGCCGCCGCCGTGCGACGTCCGGCTCGGCAGCGACGCCGTGCCGAGCTCGGCGTGCTCGGACGTCGACGTCGGCAGGCGCAGCGCGACGCTGCTGCCACCGCCGTCGGCGGCGCGGCGTTCGAGAGAGTCCGGAGTCGACCTGCTTAGTTCGACGTGGCCTTTCTTGAGCGTCGATCGGCCCGTGCTGGCAAACGTGTCGGCCGACGTCAGCGCCGACGTCGTCGGCAGCGGCGCGACGAGGCCGACAGGGGGCGTCGTCGTCGGCAGGTCGCAGACGATGTCCGGCCGCTCGGCGGCGGCGACGAGGAAGCTTGACTTGCGACTGCGCGACTCTAGGTACGCGACGTCGGCGCGCACAGACGCGAGCACGTCGTCGAATTCGCGGTCGACGTCGGCGCGGACGACCACAGCCGACGTGCTGCCGACGCCCGCCGCGCTGCTGCTGCACGTTGCATTGTTCTTATTGTTGCCGTTGCGATTGAACGCGGCGTTATCGTTCGGCTGCGAACACGCGTCCCCGCCCGGCTCCTCCTTCTTCCTCTCCGTCCTCGCCGGAGAGGAAACCTCTTGCCTTCGTGGGGAGGAGGAAGCACTGGGTGTGGGTTTAGAGTTGCCCGCAGGCGGGGTGCAATTAGTGGCGGGCGCGGTGGAGGCGTCAGAGAGAGCGGTTCCACTGGCAGAGGTGTGGCGTGGGGGGGATCCATTGACAGAGAGAAAGAGTGAGAGGGGGCGGGATAGAGAAAATGAGAAATAAAGAGAGAAAAGAGAGACTGTGAGCTAAACATAAACAGAGAGCGAGCTAGATAATGACAGAGAGAGCGCGAGAGGGAGAAAGAATGAATGAAAGAGAGAGAGAAAGAGAGAGAGAGAAAAAAAAAGATAGCGAGAGAAGAATAGAGAGAGAAGGATAGAGAACGATAGAGAGAGAAGGAAAGAAAGAGAAGGATAGAGAGAGAGACAAAAAAAGAGAACCAGAGAACAGAGAGAGGACGAGGGAGAGAGAAGGAGAGAGAAAGGGAGACAGTGCGCGCGCGAGAGAGAGAACGAGAGAGAACGAGAGAGAGAGAAAAAGAGAGAGAGAGAGATAGATAGAGAGAGAGAGAGAGAGAGAGAAAGAGAGAGAGAGCGAGAGAGAGAGAGAGAGCGAGAGAGAGAGAGAGGGCGTTGGCCGGATGGGCGCTGCTGCGCGGTGAGCAGCATTTACGGTTGTTGTTGCTCAGCGTCATCATCATTATCAGTCCTCGGCGCTGATTCCGACTAGCTTCTCCGTCGGCCGCGCAGCTCAGAGCGTGTCCGGGTGAAGACGCTGCCGTACAGGTCTCCTGCTGAGCGAACACGCGTCGGGGAGTCGCTGTGTCGTCGCTGAGCCGAGGTGATGACGTCATCGCAGCCGTGCAGTTATATAGACGCGTTAAGACCTGCTTTGTTATATATTCTATATTATATATACATTCTATATTATGTACATTCTATATTATATATGCTATTTGCTACATATTGTTATATTGATATACCATCGGATGCCCTTTTTACTTTATTCTTTAACTTTTAACCTTTTTATGACGATTCCAATCTTTTAGAGTATGTAAGAACATAGGTGATTGACATTTACAAGTATTCGCCGCACAGCGGGTGCACACGCAGCGCGATCTCGCGTGATCTCGTGTGACTTTCCCTCGAAGAACATTTGCGCACTGTCTCCGGGATACTCATTCATTGTAAATAACTGTGAAATTGCAAACTCGACGAGAGATAAATACTATGCAGAACCCGCGGCGCAATTATAAATAAATGCTATCCGATACGACGGGGTTCCATTATCTCCCTTCCCCTATTTTGCCATTGAGAGGTACGATTACTGCCTGAGTATTATTATTAGTTATGAATGTACCTTTCTGGAAACATTACACTTCCTGAACGAGTAAGTCAGCAGAACGAAAACGCCGAGCTCGTGTGCGAATCATATTCGGGAGCATTTTGACATTTATTTTCCGAACCTTTGACGAATTATGATTACAGTGTAACAAATGATGCGGCGATTTTGAGAGTCATGTTATGGTTAGGGTCAGGCATTTGCAAAGTTTTCATTTACCAAGTTACGTATTCATTATTAATTATTAAATAATATTTATTAGATTTTTATACTATATACAAATACAATTTTCACACGTTTCTATTTTCCTTATAGAATCGTTATTTAATTTATATGTAAATTTTAACCGGGTTCTTCTTACCCGAGAATCATTATGAAAATTATACGTACACGCCAATTTCTAACTCGTTTCTAATTTTTTTCCTAGGGCACGAAAACTGTTTCGTTTCGGGTCGCACGGGCCTTCGAAATCACCACGAAGGTGACCTGCTTCGAAATCTGCTAGCACATATTCATCCGTTTATCTATACAGCTATAGTAAATCACGCGTGATGCGCGCTCGCACGTGAGCAGATGATCATAGATTGTCACATTAAAAAAAAAATTTGCGGGAGTGATCAAAGCGGCGGGAAAGAATAGCGGTCGGCGACGCGATAGCGCGTAAGCACGCGAAAATAGCAGACAAATCAAAGCAATTGCCGCGCCCCGCTCAGTATTATCGCGTAGTAGCACGTCGTAGCGCGAGATCTCGCGCGAAAATGCAGACAGATTTGTTTAACGGTCCGGCAGGTTTGGTTGTCTATAGCGTGGATGATGCGGCCGTGTGCGTACCCTGGGCCACAGGGAACCCTACGTCAAGGGCGGCCTGCCCCTAAACTAATAATATTATTATTATCATTATTAAATCTTTATTGCATGTAATTCAAATACAAATACATGTACTGAAGACAGTCTTTTTCGTATCTAGTGGTCCGCCCACCTAACCCTATACATACAACGGAGATGCCCACCTAACCCTATACATACAAGGGGGATGCCCACCTAACCCTATACATACAAAGGGAATGCCTACCTAACCCTATACATACAAGGGGAATGCCCACCTAACCCTATACATACAAGGGGGATGCTCACCTAACCCTATACATACAAAGGGGATGCTCACCTAACCTATACATACGAAGGGGATGCCCACCTAACCTATACATACAAGGGGATGCCTCACCTAACCTATACATACGAAGGGATCGACCCACCTAACCTATACATAC